GTTATACATAAATAACTGCATTTCTATACATGTAAACAGTAAACATAATGACTTTTATTTCTACCATTTATAATAGCAACATCAAAACAAATAAGGTCACAAGAAATAAGTTTAATGTAAGATGTGCAGAAACAAAATGAAAATTACAAACCATCATTGAAAGGCATTAAGGAAGATCTAAATAAATGGAGAGATGTATTATATCCTCACTGAGATTATTCAATACAATAAAAGCATCTACTCTCCAAAATTCATTCCATCAATTTTAATTGATATCATAAGAGATTTTCATCATAGAAATTGATAGAGCAATTAACAAATTTATATGAAAGAAAAAAGTTCAAGAATATTTGAGGCAATTTTAAAGAAGAAAAAAAGTAGAAATGACTTGACCTATCATATATCATAATATTATACAAATACAGATAAATTAAGAAAAAGTATTATTGGTGCAGCGATGGACAAACAGACCAACTAAATACAGCAGAAATCTCCAAAACAGACCTGTGCTGATATAGAAACTTGAGCAATACACACACATACACACACACACAAACACACATACATATATATTTAAATTAAGTGTTGCCTAAAGCTACCATCATACATAGTGAACTGTGACTTGATTTGTAACAAGTAGCTGAATCCCAGTCAATTACAGACTGACAACTGATAAGAACACGTCCATATAGGGAGAATGCCTCATTATTACCATACCCAGATAAGACAAATACTGTGCTGTAACCAATCAAGCTGTTTATTTTTGTCATTTCTTTTTTCTGTCTATAAATCCTGCCAATGTTGCTGGAAGAAGACTCTGAGCCTCTCTTGGTTCTGAGTGCTGCCTGATTCATGAATCATTCTTTGCACAAATAAATTCTGTTACATTTAGTTAGTCTATATAAGAGTATATATATCTCTCAAATGTATATGTATTGCTATATATCTAAATTCAAGATATATGTATTGCTCAAGTTTATATAATATATGTTATATAAATATATACAAATATTCTGCAATATTTATGACACCTTTTTGAAACCTCCTATATAAAATTAATATCAGGCCATGGGGAAAAGCTGTAGATGAGATCTGAGCCACGAAAAGCTGCAGCTATGGTTAGAATTTAACAAATCTGTTGTTTCCAAGTTTGCTTTCATTTCAATAGAAAGCAATTGATTATCTTTACTTCTTGACCTCTGAAGAGGGGGAGGAGGCCACCCCCAATGCTGATAAACTTATTCTGACTTAAACAGGATGGGCCTAAGACCGCTTGAGGACAAAAGTGGAGGTTGAAAGACAAAAACAACTTCAATGTCCAGGGACCCCGCCACCCCCATACCTTCCTCCTAAACAACCTCCAAAATGACTCACTGCCTGGAGGTAGTGGCTGAGGGTCATGGGACTTGCTTTATAGATAGCATCTGTTGCAAAACAAGAATAGTATTTGAGATATTTTTCAGACTCTGTTGGACCCAAGGCACCACCCAGGCCCAAGACACATACCAAGAAACTGACTCCACCAGTCCTGTGATGCCCCCTCCCAGAAATTGGCTCTGTGATAGGAAGATCATCCCCTGACATCATCAATCAGCAGCCTCTATTCCCCTGCCTGCCAAAATTCCTTTAAAAACCATATCTTCTGAATTTTTAAGAAGTGTGAATTTGAGTAAAATTGCTCATCCTCCTTGCTTGGCTGCTTTGCAATATTAAACTCTTTCTCTAAGTGTAATGGTTTTTGGTTTTTTTCTGGGCAGTGGGCACAAGAACCTGGTCAAGCTGTAGCATTTTCACATCACAGGTATTATGGTGTCAATATTTTTGCGGTATATTAAAAATTTTCCAGCAAATATTTTCAGTTAGAAGCTAAGTACCATTTCAAAGTCAGAATTTATATGATAAAGAATACAACTGCTATCTATTTAGGTTTCCATGCTAAAGTCAAAACTGCTATTTGGTGCTTGCATTTTTGTTAATTCTTCTTTTTCTTTCGTGAGTATCATATGACTACTGTATCTTTATATTCACTTTTCTCCATATAGAGGTGTGTGTGTGTGTGTGTGTGTGTGTGTGTGAATGACAGAAGTAAAATTGCAGATCATTGGAAAAACAATATAATGATCTCAATAGTCTTGTGCAACTGGTTAAGGAAATGAAAAACAATAAATTTGGATCTTTTCCTAGGTGGGGTTCCCCAAAAACAGAGCCTAAGATGGAAATTCATGTTCAAGTGACTCATTGGGGGAGTGCTCTCAGGAATTAAGGGAGACAGCACAGGGCAGGGGGAAAAATGAGCAAGAATATAATCTCAACTGAAGACTAGCTTCAGTCTTAGAATAACAGGAAGTTCTAGAGCATAAATCATCAGAAGTAAATCACAGGCCGGGTGCAGTGGCTCAAGGCTGTAATCCCAGCACTTTGGAAGATCGAGGTGAGAGGATTGCCTGAGTCCACAGTTTCGAGAACAGCTTGCACAACTTGGTGAGACCTCATCTCTAAAATAAATTTAAAAAATTAGCCAGGTGTGGTAGCGCACGCCTATAGTTCTGGCTACCTGGAAGGCTGAGGTAGAAGAATCACCTGAGCCCAGCAGATCGACGCTGGGGTGGCCATGAGCATGCCACTGCACTCCAGCCTGGGTAATAGAGTGAGACTCCAACTCAAAAAAAAGAAGTAAGTCACACCCTGCAGCAAGAGATGGTGTTTTGAACTCTACTGAAAGTCAATGGCCTAGGCTGATCCTTTAGTGGGAAGGAGAGGGGAGAGTGGGAGCAAGGTGGCTCCTGTGAGGTCTAGGGCAATATTTCAGAGGTGGGGCGGCAGCCAGCACTCACCACAAGTAGGGGAATGGGTGTACTGGCCAGATGAAGGAGATGTGAGGAAGAGTGACCAACTGTCCCCATTTGCCTGAATTTCCAGTCTCTAAACATCTTACTGAAGAAATGAAAGGATCTGCTAAACACTGTTAAAAGAGGGGTGTGATTTGCTTATCTCAGATATGGAGACTTTGATAACAAAAATGTTTGGTTATTTCAGCTTCCTCAAAATGTGCAGAAACACTTAAATTTTTGACTTATAGGAATGGAAGGAGATAACTTCCAGATTTTACTGCTGGGATTCTCACATTCTGGGAAACCCTACTAGGACACAAAAACTCCTGGTTTTCTGCAATGGGTGTGAAGGTTGGGGTGAAAAGTATAAAACCTATATGACAGCCCCCAAAATAAGGGCTGAACGCAAGACTGCTTTTAGTGTCAAACGGGTATAGGTCATTCACCTTCTGTAGTCACTGTCATTTTCCTCTCCTATTCACTGATGTTAGCAACCACTTTGCAGTTCACTATAATGACCATCCATTGTTGTATTACTCTGAGGAATGTATCTCAGGTGTGCAATTTAAGTGAGTTGTAATCATAAGTATTAACAGTCCATCTGTGGCTTTGCCTGTGGATTATCTTTTGTACCTTGTATAAAGCGGCATTTTTTAAGATTGTGAATATGGTGACCATATTTTATAAGAGTGGAGATAATAAAAATGAGAATAACCACAATACCAACACCAGCATGAAAGAGATTTCATCGAAAAAGATTGCTAAACAACTGTGCAATGTTAATGACAGATGGAAGGATAATATAACTGGATTAGGGAAGTAACTAAAAGAGCATGCTATGCAATATGTAGAGAAGAATTTAGGATTGGGTATAGTGGAGAAGGGAATGTGAAAACACATATGGAGACTGAATCTTACAAGTCTAAGATGAAACAGATAAGTACTTCAAAGCAATCAAAAGTTTTTTAGTTTCCCACAAAAGTACCAAAGCTCAGTTGAAAACAGCGACTGCTGAATTAGTGTGGGCATAGCATATGAACGATGTAACATGCATTGTTGTCTCCTGTCTTTACCGCTCTATGAAACTATGTAAGGCTACTTTTCCTAATTCAAAAAAGTGTTCCCTCTTAGGTAATTTGACTTGAAAAATGAGTTTCAAATTGTTGTCTTGATATCTATTAAGATTTTAATGAGGCAGGGTGCAGTGGCTCACGCCTGTAATCCCAGCACTTTGGGAGATGGAGGTGAGAGGATTGCCTGAGCCCAGGGGTTCCAGACCAGCCTGGGCAACTTGGAGAGACCAAAAAATCAAAAAGTTAGCTGGACTTGGTGGCTTGTACCTGTAGTTTCAGTTACTTGGAAGGTTGAGGCTGAAGGATCGCTTGAGCCCAGCAGGTCAAGGCTGCAGTGGTCATGAGTGTGCCACTGCACTCCAGCCTGGGTAACAGAGTGAGACTCAATAAAATGAAAAAAATTTTTTTCAATGAAACCACAAAAACCTAAAACAAAGGGTGTTATATCTAGCCCAAATACAAAATAGAATTGACTCATTTATCTGCTTTTGATGTAAATGTTAATTTTGACAAATTTTATTCACTCTCTAAACATCTTACTGAAGAAATGAAAGGATCTCATCTGCTAAACACTGTTAAAAGAGGGCTGTGATTTGCTTATCTGAGATATGGAGACTTTGATAATGAAAATGTTTGGTTATTTCAGCTTCCTCAAAATGTGCAGAAACACTTAATAAAATTTTTGACTTATAGGAATGGAAGGAGATAGCTTCCTTAAATATGTGCCTACAAGATGGCTGTCGCTGCTGGCTATAGAAAAGAAGTTAAAATGTTGGCTTGTCATGAAATCATATCTTCAAATGTAGAACAAAAAATAATGTCCTGCTCCAATCTGGAAATACATCAAGGAAGAGAATGGAGAGAATGATTATGGTGAAACAGAAATAAACATGTTAGTTCTCCAAAGCTGTCTGATAATCCTTGAAGATGCCACCAGGAGCCCAGGAAAGGATGAACTGACTTGAGTTAATCCTGCTTAATGTTATGTGGAGGTTGTGACAAAAACTCCAAAAGAAAAAAAGAAGACAAATTTTTTTGAAATAATATTGTTTCAGAACATTAAAGAAATGTCCCCAGATAAAGGCAAAGTCAAACAGAACTTTCTGAATTTCTTTACTATAACTGGAAGCTTATTTGAAATCTAACTTCAATTTTACAAGTTCAAATTCCATTTGTATTTTTTAAAAAATCAATAACTTTTATTACCATTCACCTATTTCATAGAAAAATAAATGTAGTGAAAGAGCCAGGGTTGTATGAGAAAAAATTCCAGGTTTGTACACGCTGCTCCATTTACATTTGGAAGCAGGGCCCTCCCGACATCAGGCGCAGCAGCTGCACTTGTCCGATGTCCCTTGGCAGACACAGCCCTGGGTGCACTTGACACAGCTCACGGGGCAGCAGGAGCAGCAACCAGAGGTACAGGAGCAGTTGGGGTTCATGTCGAGCCCAGGTGAGGTTGGAGATCCAAGGTGAGAGAGAGAAGGCAGCAGGCAGGTGGGAGGCTCACATCTGTGCTTTAAATCATTTTCCCTAGGAAAAAGACATTTAATTACAAAGACATCTAATGTGCTTCAGAGTGTTTTAAAAATGATGGCCATTTCACACATGGTTAATTTATAAATACAAGGACCCAACTGACAGATAAATGGCTCGTTTACCTGAAGATACAAGATGGATGAACATTTTAGAGAGTTGGAAACAAATTCCAATAACTTAAAAAACCTGCTGTGCTAGCAAATAAAATCCTAAGTATTCTATGCGCAAACACTTCTATTGAGAGAATACTTAGCTCTGTGTTATTACATTACACCTATAGCAGGAATCAGTGCAATGCAGGCAGAAGAGCAGAGATGCAATTCAAAATTACCTTTATGTTTGACTGGATTCAGTTTTACCATTACATAAAATAAAAGAAAGATGTCCTGAAGGTTTCAGGTAGTTCAGAGAAGTATTAATGGAAAACAAAACAGAAAGAATAAAAATATCCATGATATCATGGAACAGAAAGAAACATGCCATTATTTTTTATTTAATATAGGTAATATCTGTTTAGTTAGTTCTATTATATTTACAGTCTTTAAAAAATTCTTACATTTATGTATCTCAAGAATATAGAATTATTTATAGAATTTAAATATGCAATAAAGCTGGGCTCGGTGGCTCAGCCTGTAATCCCACGCCTGAGGTGAGTGGATTGCCTGAGCCCATGGGTTCGAGACCCACCTGGGCAACTTGGCGAGACCTCGTCTTTACAATAAATCAAAAATCAGCCGGGCGTGGTAGCATGTGCCTGTAATTCTGGCTACTTGGAAGGCTGAGGCGGATGAATCGCTGGAGCCCAGCAGGTGGAGGCTGCGGTGGCCAGGAGCGGCCACTGCACTTCAGTCTGGGCGACAGAGTGAGACTCCAACTCAAAAAGAAATAAAATAAAATAAAAAAATAAATATGCAATAAAGTTAAAATAAATTGATGTACCAGAGGTCAGAAAGCAGCATAAAAATATTGTTATATTTTTTACACATATTATTTGCTTAATTAGTCCTTCTATTAATTATTACTAGTTGCCACTTATAACTAGTCTTATTACTATTCTGTTTAATAGCATTTATGCAACAGAAAAATACAAGAGTATATAATTTAAAGTAAATACCTATTTTTCATGTTTTTATGTTCAAGTAATAATATTCATAACATATACAATTACACTAATATATAATAACACGTAACATTTATATTATTATTTAACACATATTAGATTGTCAAAAATTTTAAAAGGTTAGACATTTTCAAATGCTAGCAAGGGTGTGTAGAAAAGAGAATCTTAGCTGGGCTCAGTGGCTCAGCCTGTAATCCCGCGCCTTTGGGAGGCTAAGGTGAGTGGATTGCCTGAGCCCGCGGGCTCGAGACCCGCCTGGGCAGCGAGACCTCATCTCTACAATAAACCAAAAAATCAGCCGGGCGTGGTAGCGCATGCCTGTAATTCCAGCTACTTAGAAGGCTGAGGTGGAAGGATCGCTGGAGCCCAGCAGGTGAGGCTGCGGTGGCCGGGAGCGGCCACTGCACTCCAGTCTGGGTGACCAAGTGAGACTCCAACTCAAAAAAAAAAAAGGAAAAGAGAATCTTGTAGTCTGTGGAATATAAATTAGTACAACCATTTTATATTATTATTATTTTAAGACAGGGTTTCACTCTATCACTCAGGCTAGAGTGCCGTGACACAGTCCTGGTTCACTGCAGCCTCAACCTCCTAGACTCAGATGATCCTCCCATCTCAGCCTCCTGGGTAGCTGGTACTACAGACATGCACGACCATGCCAGGTTAATTTTTTAATTTTTTGTAGAAATGATATCTCACTATGTTGCACAGGCTGGTCTTGAACTCCTGGGTTCAGGCAATTCTCCCACCTCGGCCTCCCAAAGTGCTGGGATTATAGGTGTGAACCACCAAGCCTGGCAGTACAACTACTTTGTGAAAAAATCCAGCAATATATAGTGTATTAGTTTTCTACCGTTGTATAACAAATTACCACAAATCTAGTAACTTAAAACACTTATTATTTCATGGTTTCTGAAAGGACATAACATGGAGTCAATATAGCCAAAGAGCAGCCATTTTAACATTGTTTAGAGTTGTCATGTTTCTCTAGCAGTTCACTTTAGTTTACCCTCTAATCACAAGCCAAGGACAGATCTGGTTTCTCAGAGGTAGTTATTGATAATTGTCTTACATACCCCTCCCCAGCTTGTCTTGTATTAATTAGCTTTTCTACTTCAAGTATTTGCCTCAGCCCACAAGACTCAAGTTAACCTAATCAGCCCTTCATGACCTTCACGGCAGACCCCACCAACATGGCAGCAATCATCTGCCTGGTATCCGTCACCTGACATCAGTACCCGTGCTTACTTGCCCTGCATGATGACATGGAACGGACCACCACCCAATCACCTTAATGACCTGCACCTATCAAAGGGAAAGTTTAAAAGAATTCAACCTGAAACAGCCATTGGTCATTGCTTTGTTAAACTATGGTGTGTCCATGTGGCTCTTTGAGCTATGGCCGCCATGTTTTCCTAGCCTTGGCCCCGTCCCCTACCTTGGGGAGGAGAATCTCTTCTCTCTCTCTAATTGACTTTCTAAATAAACTATGTTTTTCAATATAACTTCTGTGCAATTTTTTTGCAACTTTCACATTGCACCAGACTGCACATACAACCCCCACTGGGCCTAACCCAACATTTTGGAGGCCCTACTGGGAGTTTTAACCTAATATTTTTGGAGGCCCTACTGGGAGTTTTAACCTAACAGTTTCTGCGGCCCAGGAATACAGGCACAGTTTCTCTGGGTCTTTAGCTCCGGGTCTCACAAAGTTGCAATTGAAGTATGTCAAGCTGTCTTCTCATCTGGAGGTTTGACTGGGTAAGAATCTGCTTCCAAGCCTTCTCAGGTTGTTGACAGAATTTATTTTCTTGTAGTTGTATCACTGAGGGCCCTGGCTTCTTACTGGCTGTCAGCTTGGAGGCTGCACTCAAGTCCTAGAAGCCATCTGCAGTTTTCTGCCATGTGGCCCCTATATAAGAAATTTACAACACAACAGCTTGCTTCTTCAAGGCCAGGAGAGTCTCTAGCTCCAGTCTGCGAAGACAGTCTTATATAATGAAACATAATCCTGAGAGTGACATTCCATCATCTTTGCCATATTTTACTGGCTAGAAGTAAGTCAAAAGTCCCACCTGCACTCAAGGGGTGGGGATTATACAGGGCAACACCAGAAGGCAGAGCTTATGGGGTCATCTTAAATTCTGCCTACTACATCTAGTAATATTAAAGATACTATGTCCTAAGATTTAGCATTTCCCTATACACAGTAAAGATGTACAAGAATGTTCATAACAGCACTGTTTGTGATAGCAAAAATATTGTTCTACAATTTGAAATTTCTTAAAATACAAAATTGTTTAGTCAGGGAGACATTAGCTTGTAAAACACCATGTATGGTGTGACAACATTTTTGGGGGTCATTCCTCCACTCTGCCCCCAATAACATTTTTCTAAAAGTGATATATATAGGAATTCTGCTGCCAGCAATGACCTACTGCTACTGTTTGGACCAACCCTTCCACTACTGAGAACAACTGGGCAAAATAGAAAAAACAATGCACTGAAGAGCTATGAAAGCAGCTAGAATTTGTGAGTGCAAGATTTGGAAGAACAAGGAAGCCACAAGAGGTGAGTCTGACATTTGTCATTGCTTTTCCAAAGCTGAGGTGACTATTGATTCTGAAAGCAGTGGCTGAAAAACTGAGTAGAGCTTTTGGCTTTCTCACAGGGTTGAGAAGGCCCACCAAAGAGGACAGGCTGTATTAAATACCCCAGGCTTTTGGTTTGGACTCCCAAGGACCACACCCTAGCTAGGACTAAAGATGAGTTGGAAATAAATTAGCTTTCACAAGAGTCAAGTCCAGCTCTGAATAATAAATCTTAGCACCTTATTGGAATGAGGTGACATATTTGCAGCCTAGCAGAACACCTTCTTTTTCCCCAGCCCCCTTGCTCAAACTCAACCCTGATCTTGGTAAACACACCATCAGTGTGGGAATGCTGATACAGCAGAGAGATCCAGGACAAATGAACATTGCATAACCTGGGATTCAGATAGTGTGGTCCTCTCTCCCCATCCCTCCCATGATTATACATGTATTATCTACTCTATCTCTTTCATTTTGCTTTTCGGCTGGTGTTTTAAATTGATTTGCGTGAGTCACATTTGAGAATTTTCGATCCCGTGACTTCTGCTAGGCTGGCTTCAGTTTTTCTTCTTTTGAAGCCACTTTTTGCTCCCCCAAAAGAAGAATTCCATCAGATTTAACATTAACAATCCCTGCCCTAGTTTTTCGTTTGGGAGCACTTATTGCGAGTGTTAAGAATAAAGCAAGGATCTGTGTTTCATTTAATTTCTTAATGATATTTGATGCAGTCCATACGTTATCTAGCAGACGGGATGGGAGAGAACTCAAAAAAAAAAAAAAAAAGGAATGAATACCCAGAAGCTTCCTTCCTGCAAACGTGCTGCATGTGAGCCCTTTAGACACGAGACGCTGACTTACCACTTTTGTAACATTCCCTCGGAATTCAGTCATTCCATCATTCGTTCCATACGCATGTTAAGCACCTACCACGTTAGGGGCTAGAAAGCCAAAGGTGAGTGGGGATCCATTCGCCCCGCAAGAGCTTAGAGAAGACAGGCTTGTAGCAGAAGACAGGCTTCTCCGGCCTCTGCAACCTCCTCCTCGGGGAGACCCCTCGCCGACCCCCGAATCCTCGCGGGCTAAGCGCCCAGTGGAAGGGCGCTGGAAGACTACGTCTCCCGGCAGCCCCCGCGGCGAGCGGCGGAGGGACGCGCGCAGGCGCACGGGGCGGCCCCCGCACGCAGGCGCACTGCGAACGCCGGCTGAGCCGAGTCTCGCTGCTCGGTGCGCGGCGGCGGAGAGCGAGGCCTGCTGAGCAGCGCCGAGGCGCGGGCCGGCTCTTCGAGGCCGTGCGCGGGAGAGGAACGGCGGGCGGGCGAGCGGGCGAGCGAGCGGCTCACTTCAGCTGTGGCGCCGGGGCCGGTGGCCTGGAGCCTGGTGAGTGCGGGGCCCTGCGGGCCGGCCCCTCCTCTTCCCGCCGGCGGAT